TTTTTTTTTTTTTTTTTTTTTTTGAACCACCGTCCTTAGTGTTCTACAAATCGCATAATTACCACCTCGCATTTCTTGAACCTCGATAATATCATTGCATTGCATGAGGACACAATGAGAACATACGTATAGTTGAAAATTTTTATTGTCTGTTTTTTCTTGAAATGTAAATTAAAGTACAGTATACCACCAACTCATTTGAACACCAAAGTGAAAAAATGGAAGAAAGAATTAAACGTCAAGGGAACCATAAAGAGAAAGAAACACCAATTGTTATTTCCAAGAAAGGCAAACAAATATAAGAAAAGAGGATACAAAAGGTAGGTTTGGTTGGGTCAAACTCTAAGCAAAGCCTAATGCTTTTGTGCCTAACAAAAACATACTAGAAATAAAAACCTACTCCAGAACACTATCCATTCTTCTTTGGCAATTACGATTTTTTTAATCATACAAAGCATCATGAATTATGACTAATCTCATACATTAGACCTTTGGGTGAGAAGAGGTTGTTTCTCAAAGAGACCGAGCCTATAATCACCAAGTTTAGACTTGTATGCTGAAGATTTGTACTGCGACCAAGTGAACTCCTTGTAAAGCCAATCCTCTTGCTTAGGGACAAGAAATGGTAGTGGAGCAATCTTCTGGCTCAATGGTGGTCCTCCAAAATATATCATAGAGACTCTCGATCTCCTTGTATCAGCCAAGACTCTGTGTTTTACACTCTTGAACCTCCCGTTTGTCATAACCTGCAATCACCGGGTATTTATATGAGTCTTGTCTGAGAATTAGACTTTGAAAGCGTTGTATAATCAAGATGAGGATAAAAGAATACACACATGGCATATTGCATACTTACACATCATGTAAATAGTAATTGTCACGTGGGCCGCAGTGTATAACATAGATTTTCTAGACGTATACAAAAGAAATAGAAACGATTTTCTTATATTTATTTTTCTAAAAGAGAAGAGACGAGAAGAAATCACATGTGAGAATTTTGTCTACCCATCACACCGATCTCAGTCACTCCGCTACCATCTCAAGTTAGGAAAAAAAACACACAACTTATACAAGAAAATACACTTAATTTAATAAAAACGTTTCTATCTTAAGATAAAACTGAAATATACTTTTGTGAGTTTTGACCAGGCAGTTAAACTGCAGGAATGTCTCAAACACAACCATCAAATCTTAAATACATAAAGATTCCCTATAAAGTCCATAGTAACTTCTTTTTTTTTCTATAAAAAATTAAAAAGGGAAAAGAATAGTAAAAAGGTACCTGAAGAGCATCTCCAACATTGATGAAGAAAGAAGAGTGATCAGGAGGGACAGCGACCCAACTTCCATCTTTCATACAGATTTGAAGACCCGCAGTGTTATTGGACCGTAGCACTGAGATGATTTGTGGGTCTGTGTGTTCCCCAAACCCTACTTTCACCATCTTCTCGGCCTCTTCCTCCGCCGTGGGATAATGGTTCAGTCTCAAGCAAGAGTCACTCTTCTCATCTCTCACCATCTTACTCAGTGTGTCCCTTGGCTCTATCCCTAATCCTTCCGCCACCATCTCCAACACTTTGAACGTCACTTCCTTCACCTCTTTCATGTACTCCTCCACCGCCTCTCTGTTTTTGTTTCACTCACAATGGTCAGAACAATATTAAAAGACAAGAAAAACAGAGTGTTCTGTTTCTACTCATTAGTTAGAATATCTGACCTATTTTCGTACTATTTTCTAAGGGTTTTTAATGAAGATGAATGTGATGTTTTTGAGATTCTTTTACCGGAAAATTTGTGGGGTTTGACGGTAAATGGCGGTGGTTTTCGGTGACAAGAGCTGAGGGTTAGCATTGAGGAGGATATACTCTATCCATCCCACGTCCCCGTTTGGTCCAATCCGTTTACTACCATAACCGTACGGTTCAGGAGGACCGGCCTGGTTTTTAAAAGACTGTGGCAAGGCGAAGAAGCGGACAGCTTCCTGCTCTAACCTGGTCATGAGGTCTGGTGGGACACCGTGGTTTACAACCTTGAAGAAACCAAACTCCTCACAGGCTTTCACGATTAGGGTTTTGGCTTCTGGGTCGGTTAGGTCCACGACGGGGATTGATTGGGAAGTAAGAACCGGAACCGGTTTGTATGTTGGGATTGCGGATGCGTGGTTATCTAAAGCGACTGGCTGTGATAAGACCACCATGTTTGGTTTAGTGTTGGTGAGTTTTGCTGAAAATAACAAAAATCTTAAAACAGGAGAGAAAGTTGTTGAAAGGTTGAAGAAAGGAGTTGTTATGATAACTTGAGGAAGCTATTTTGCTTGGCATTTATAGGGAGTGGCTTCTGCGTGACGGGGAAAATGCTTTTATATATATAATAAGAGATGAAATTTATTTATTTATTTAAACTTTACTACTAAATTATGATTATTTATATTCCTGTATATTATATGATCATTTAGTCTTTTGTTATGTCCGGTCTATTCTTCTAAGATACACATGGAACTACAGCGTGGAATTTTTGTTTTTATTTTCTAATTTGGGTTTATGAAATCGAAGTTGGCATAGTGAGAAAATGGTATTGGTATGGTCCTGTTTTATGTTTTTTTTTTTTTTTTTTTTACTTTGTCTAATCACGCGTATGGAATGTTGACAAATAAGGAAAAGAATCACGGGTCATAGTTTCTTAATTAATTATTGAACCAAAAAGTTTCAACTATTTCACGATTTCAAAAGATAGTATAAAAAGTAAAGTTTTATGTAGAAAAGCTTTAGTTTTATGTTTTCGTCAAGAAATCACTGCCACGAAACACATAAAAAAGAGCGTGACCAGATGCATTTACCAAAAAAATAATATATATATAATTAGATTATTAGTTGAGATAAAATAATGACAGAAACAAAATATCTGATAAATAGGTTTTTCAAAAAATATTTCTGCCTAGATATTGGTGAAGATAAACCCAAACGCAAAGTCTTATGCGTCTTCAATAAATAGTAACTTTTTTTTTTTGTAAAAATATAAATAGTAACTTCGGTTTTATCTTTTTTATATTTTATTTTACAGGAAACATTTTTTTTTGATAAAAGGCTTTTATACAAGAAACATTGTCATTGATATATTCACTAAGTATTACTAGCATTTTAAAGACTCATATATACAACAAAGTTGAAAGGTGGGGGAGTCTTTGACATATTTTCGTGGCCAAGGCTTTATTATCGACGTGGAGTAGCTTTTTTTTTTAAATGTCTTTGCGTTTATAATATTTAGCTAAATGCATGTAAAGTTTAATAGGTTTGGAAATTAGTAGTTTTACCGTTTTAGGGATTTTAAGTTTTAAGAGTATAAGCATTGAAATTTCTAGGTTTAACTTTATAAATCATAGCATCATAGAGAACATCTTGTATTTTTTTTAACAGTAAAAATAACAAAATTTCCAACGAAAATAAATCTCACCGAGAGCAATTTATATGGATTTTCAGAAATTTGATTTGGTTCATTTAGTCTGTTGCGTTGGTAAAAATCGTGAAAACGAAAATAAATTTTCTTTTCAGTTTTAGATATGTAAAGACATATTTGATGTTCCGTAAAAAGCTATCATTGATTTTAGCTTCTGATAGGCACACAATGACCCTATTAAAGTTTTTTTCTGGCCCTATTAAAGTTAGATTATATTTTGGGTAAAAGGCTAAGAAATTGAGATTTTGGATAGAGATTGCAAAAGTTATGTGAGTGAAATCTGTGTTAAAGAAAAAAGGTGAGTGAAATCTATCTCTTTATCTTCTCAACGAGTGCAAAAACTAACAGTATGACATATGGATGAAAATGATTGCATCTCTAGTCGGAACGACCAATATATGTATATAAACTTTCACCACTTTATGTTTTCATGTTTTCAGAAATATGTAAAAGGTTAAAACCAAAGAGATAAATATCGCGAACGTGCAGGTTGGTTATGAACTCTAAAATATACGTCGTAGGACTCAAATGGTGAAGTTGAGAATAAAGCATACCCATCAAAGAGGCCCGAGGCCAGCTTTTCAACACGTTTATTTTATTTTGTCATAAAACATAAAAAAGTTATATATCAGACCCCTCCCTAGTGAATAGTTCATAAAGAAAAACATCCTTATCCTTACTCTGTTCAATTCCACGTTTTCAGAACTTCACAAATAATTGGTGCACCTATCTCTTACAATCACTAGGACATAATTAATTCTTACCAGTCTCTGTGCTATGAAATTCAAGTAAAGATTTCTTAAAATCTTACAATAACTTTTAATCTCAAGTGCAGTCTTTCAGTGAATAAAAAGAGACTTGAAGTCTGTAATACAATAAAAGCAGTAATGAAGCAAACACCTGCTCAGAAGCAGATGTGAATAATGTTGAATCTCAAACGGAGCTAAAGACATTTTCTTAAATACCATTTCTCATTTTTAAGTTTTTTTTTCTTAATCGGAGCAAGGACATTTCTAATGTTGAAGGACATTTTCTTAAATTACATGTGATGGGATGCCAAATTGCCTATATATTGACATGGACTAATCTTTGCCATCTTTGAAAAGGTAATGTCAAATCATATGGTGGCATTTAAGGTTATTTACGAAGCCATTTATTCTTTGGCTTTGACTGAATGGTATTGTTAGAGCATAATTAATCTGATTTCTTAAATGGGTTCTTAGCGGAAATTAATTAACTGTTTTTTAATTTTAAATTAAAAAAAATTAAGAACTGGTTCTTAAAATTTTTATTTAAGAACCAGTTCTTAATTTTTTTTAGTAAAAAATTTTAAAACAGTTTCTTAATTTCTGGTGAGAATTTCACTCAAATAATTATGGATTAATCATGGTTTTAGGACAAGTGGAAAATTTATTACTGTTAATTACTCCAGAACTTTGCCAATGAAGTGATATAACATTTTCTCTTGGTTACTCTCTTTACTGTTTAAATAGAGTAAACACACCTTATTTATTACTCTAGTTTTAGTGAGAGTAACACTTTTTTTAAAAAAATTTCCTCTTTCTTTATTATTTATTGTTTTCCTCTGATTTCTACTTTGTTACTCTATCATATTTTCTCCCATTTACTTTACTTTATTTCCTCCAATTTACTCCACTACTAACCAATCACACACTTTGTTATGTATCCATTTGTTGAAAGGTCAAAGATTATATCGGCTGTTGTCACATAAAGAGTAAACTGTTCTCTAATCAATTATGTTATTTCGAAGATTTAGCAAATGAGAGGATTAACATGAGGAAGATAACATACACAAGGACTTCCAACTCAAACTTAATTGATAATAAGAATATAAGATTGATCCAAGTATTTATATATATTATTAATAGAAAGTTTATGGCACACTCTTATAAATTAAGGTCTATGGTCTATTAATTTCGACATAATTCTACTACATAATTTTGAGATAATAGTTTTTTTAGTCAGTAGTCTCATTGACCATCATTTTTGATGTTCGGAATCACAACCCAATTCTAAGCCACATTACAAAAATGTGTAGATCAATTAATTAAACCTTGTAGTAATTAGGTTTATGAGCTTTAATGTCATATTAAGTTTTTTGAAATTCTAACTCAAAATCAATTGAAAATTAGTGGAGCACAAACCACTTCTAGATTTGGCTAAAATGCGTAGATGATTACGTAAGCCTTGTAGTTTGATATTATAGAAAGTTTCTTAAATTTTTAACTCAAAATATATTGACAATGATTGGTGTAAATTATTTACACAATATTAATGTTCTAATGACAAAAGAATATTAATGTTCTATATGATCAGTTCACTAATTCTCCTTTCATAAACCTTTAAGTTACTCTGTTAAAAATAAACATTATATTTGTCCAATCTAGTTTGCTTTTGACCTCGGACTCTATTGAGAAAACAATCAAAATTCAAACAATCTCATTTTGTCACAATGAATTTATTGAAATTATGATAACGTTTCAAAATTATATGACATGTATAATTTTTAATTACAAATATTTTTTTGGAGAATAAGGTAATAGTTTCTTTATTATATATTAATTAAATAGTAGTTATTATCATTATTTTAAAAGAAAATAAATATAGCTATAGCAAAGTTTTTTTCACTACAACTTATGATTAAAAGTATAGCAAAGTTTTGTTTTGGTTCTTGTATACATAATTACACTTTTTCATCTGAACCACTTACAAATGTTTTCTTATTATAACAAAACAACATTGATAAAAAGTCAAATTTAAGTGGATATTTAAATATTTAAAATTATATCTAGATCTATTAATCAGTTGGTGTAGAGAAATGATTAATCAAGTATTCTTTTTTTTTTGTCATCGATTAATCAAGCATTCAAATTATTGTTTTTATTCATATATAATTACAATAAAATATATATGTTGACCGACTGATGGATGGTTCACTGGGGTAATACATTAGTCACGAATCTTAATAAAACTTGAAAAAATTGAACTCGTTTGAAAAAAATAAAAATAAAAATATTTATTTTTACTATACACAACTGTATATTTTATATAATATACAAAACTTCTATTAAAAATAACCATAGTTGAGTTAAAGGTAACTAAACTCAAACAAAATCAAATTAAACCAAAATGAAAAAGCTCAATTATATATATTTTTATGATTTTAGTTTGTTAAATTAATAAAATATTTTTTATAAAATAATCTCTATGAATTGGATTTACATCAACAAATAATTTATGCCTTAATTATTATTTATATGTATATAACTCCATAACTATATGATATTCTATATGAAACCTATAATTATATAAATAAACTTAATTGCATTAAACAAATAATAATTATCAAATAGCCTCAACTACCAAATATTAGTTGATCCTTTTATTTGATGGTAGTTGTTTCTCATCATTTGAACTAAAATGGAAAATCAGCAGACCAAGGCACATGCCGATTTCAAAAATAGTTACTAAATATATAAACGTGACAACATGTCGTATTGGTAAGCAATAAGTGACAAATGACAATAACTAACGGAGGTCCCCCAATTAAATCGGTTGGAACATCTTAAAATATGAATCAAATTTCTAAAACCACACAACTATCAGCACGCACTAATTAAAATTTCTGGTCAACGAACGACTTTAAAGCTTCACTTGACATTACAACGTCCATTTGTTTTTTATTTTGTCAACTCAAATGTCCATTTGCTAAAACTAATTTAA